GTAGAAACAGAGGCTCCAGCCTGACTGCTAATGACTATTTTTTGTTACCTGTTGAAAGTCCAGGTCTGGCTGCTGGGCTGTGGTTGGCATTCACTCAGCTTTATCACTCTGGGTTCTTGGCTAGCTTAGCGTTAGCATGAGGTGTGTGGAGGTGCTTGCAAAGAGCCGAGGTTTTGTTATCAGCATAATGCAGATGTTTCTGCCTGGATACAGTTTTCAACTTTATCATTGCACTCTTATCTTTGAGTGCAATGAAATATAAATAAAATGTCCATGTCCAGACTGTAGACTGTGCCACTAATTTCTTCCTCCGGAAGACAGCAGCAGATTTGCAATCACAGTTCATCACCATATAATTGGTTACTTGACAGGACTGAATCAGAAATTGATTCCAGACTGACTCCTCCTTTCTACCATCATTATGCACCAAAGTTGCTATGAAGACAGCAACTGACTGGAAGTGCTCAGAGACCTGGTTCTCTGTCTTCAAAACAAAGCTTTGTTTCCTTTGAAATAAGGAATCAAGTTCATTGCACGTGGTTGCAATAATTTTGGTCATGTTGCACATGTTCCAACCACTTTTTTCCCTAGTGCCACTGTAGGTTGATGCAGTGAGTGAGTGGACAGCAACAAAGATGATGCCAGAAAGAGATGTTACTACAGGGACCACAAGGAGGAATTCTTTGGTAGGAAAGCTGTGATTCAGGGTGATTTAGAGAGGAGAAAATAAAAAGATCTAATTTTGTTGTTGAAAAAATAATCTTTTGGGGCTTAACGTTTTCCAGCAAACGTAAGGCTCATCAGAATAGCTTTTCCATCATTAAATATACCTGGTAGTAATCTATGATATGTTCACTCTATAAAAATACATATTATCAGCTGCAGGCTAAAAAATAATATAAAATAATATAAACCACATTTAGGCACAACATTCGAACTATTACAATATCTAGTTATTTTATTTAATATTTAATTAATTGCAATATTTTTTTTCATTTATGTGTAAAATGAACCTATACTTAGTAATATAACAGCTTTTTAACAGTATGTACTAATGCATAAACATTATGTGCATGCCTAAATCTATATAAAGCTGAAACCATTAATACTTTAAAACACTCAAGTCAAGGCAGTACCAATGCAACCTTTAAACAGCCACAACATGATGGATACTCTCATGTCTCTTCTTATGACCTGTCACCATAATGTCAGAATATATTGTCTTGTTGATATCTGTGATATGTATATGCTTTTATATATAGGTAAGTGGATGACGGAGCACCAGATGTGTTGGGTGGACCGCTGGGTTGGGTTTATTTTTCAGGAACGATCCGAGCATGTACAATGTCTTATATTTCTCATTAGAGATATTTTTCAGGAAATAGATTTCAGCATTCATTTATCTTCACTTACCTACATCACTGCACTTGGCTAAGCAGTGCAATTCCAATCTCATTGCCAGTCCCAACATCAACAGATCAGTTTTATATTTCTTTCCATCTGGCTGGTGGATAACTGTACTGAATGTTGAGTTTTTCTACATATTGGTTTTGT